AGAAATTTGAGTAAAATAATTAGCTATCTATTTGGGGCCTAGGAAATCACAAAATATGTTTAGAATTTAATTAGAATGATGGGTGATTTTTGTTTTCTTATTTTCATTTGCCGTATTTTAAAAAATACTGAGTATGTGCTATTTTCATAACCACCCAATAGCATTTGATAATACGCTCTAAAACGAATGAGCCCAGTTCATTTTATTCATGTTCAGGAAGCTAAAGTCAGCCAGTGGAAACACTGCAGTGAGCTGGCTGTGCATGGTCTATTTGTACCTGCCACTTACTTTGCTGATATCTTGGATTGGCAGGCATAGCTCTCATTTTATCAGATACAAGAGAAATGGGAAGTGACACAGAATTCCCACACAGGTGAAGGGGGCATTTTTTTTAATTGAGCAGATACTATGTCCTGTGTGTTATGCTCAGCACTTTACACCTGTACCTCATGCCATCCTTAAATGAGACTGAGTGGGGCTTTTCAATTGGAAAGAATGCTGTAGTCCAATGGCTAATAAACAGATATCAACATACAGCAAAGCTTGGCATTAAAATTATTTTCAGAAGATATGAGAAGACTGCTTTTTTTGGGTCTTGGATTGTTTGTAGAGCCTCAGTGTTTAATATCCGAGACCCGGGTGCCTAATTCCCCCCACTGGGTCCTGTCACTGACTCGCTGGATGACCTTAGTGAAATCATTTTCCATCTGTGAGTGTATTTCCTTGCTGTGAAGACGAAACTAAGAATACTTACTGCCTTCATGGGTTATGGTAAGGACTAGCTGAGTAATCTTTACTAAGAAATGGTAACTTTTTCAAGCGAGAGTGGGAGGGAAAAAATGCCCGTCTCATCATATAGGAAACCTGTTTGGGCGTTTTCTGACCCTAAAGTGATATAAAGAAAATAGAAGACTTGTCTTCAACCTCCTTTGTTAGAGTATGAGACAAAGCTGGCTGAATTCCGCTGTTCTTTGGTGCTGGCTAAAAACAGCTCAGTCGCCCATGAGCAGCGCGGTCACAGGCTGTCTGCCGGCCACAGGGTGTGCTCCGGAGAAACCCTCTCCACCAGCCTGACCTGTGCTTCCCCACGGAGCTGACCCGCCCGGGCCATCCAGCCTTCTCTCTCCCAAAGCTTCCAAAGCTCACTCCCTTTCAGGTGCTAGGTCCACCATCAATGTTTCTTTGACTAATCTAGTTTTACAAGTGGCAGGTAGAAAACCTGAAAAATAGAAAACAGAAAAATTCTGCCCCACGTGCATTATTTTTTAAACTATAATTTTATTCTTCTCTTTGACGTGAATGTCCAGTTCTCATAGCTAAGAAGGTCCAGAGGTACAACTCAGAAGTGTAGAAGAAAATGGGCTGCAATGGGAAGGGTTTCCCTACTGGTTTTCCAACTGTCTTATGGCAGCCTTGAACACTAATCTCTTTGAGCTTCAGTTTCCAGTGGGAAATATTAACCTTATAGAATTGTGAGGATCAGAGACCTTTGATTTATTTATGCTTCATGTCATACGTAGCGCACATAATGGGCATGGGCACCAAGTTCCTTACCTTCGTAATCTGGTGGCAAACAAGGTAAGCCCTGCCCTGATAGAGCCCATGTTGCAGGGGAGGTTAAGTCCCAAGTACGGGTCTATAGCTCAGGTTCTAACAGGTGAACAGCCCATAACACAGTGGGCGTGTCTGTGTTGGGTGCTTCATTTATCCTCCAAACATCAGACAAAAGGACACAGTGAGGGGTCATTTGGTCTCATGTTGCACCCCTTTTTCACTACTTGTTCAAGCGACAGTGACTGAACACCCGGTTCCCACGCGCAGGGAGTTCTGCTGGGCACTAGGAACACTGAGATCGATGGGACCCTGCCTTGGGCTGGCAGTCGGAGTAGGGGAGGCAGACACTAAACAGGCGTTACGCTCAGAGCACTGAGTGCCACCAGCTCTTAGAGAATGCGGCAAGCTGGGACTAGGAACTGAGTCCTGAGGATGAAGAGGCATCTGTGACGAAGGGTGGCAGTGACACGGTGGGGAAGGTGGAGTTCGTGCTGTAGACGCAGAGGACAGAGGAAAAGGCTGTGCGGGGGACCGGGTATTTGCTGCTTTTGGTATGTCACAGAACAGTTCAATTCAGTGTGAGGAGCTGGGAGGGAGCGGGGGATAGGCAGTTAAGAGGTGAGAATAAAAACTGGAAGAGTGAAGGAGTTGGCCTGTGCGTGGTGCTGACCTTGGAAAAGGAAAGAGATGGGAGACTGGGAGTGGGAGGGGCTGGTGACCTGGAGAAGGCACCAGGACCAGGAACAGTCAGGGGTGGCGTCCCGGGGAGGGTGGATGAGACTTAGTGAGTGGCTGGTGTGGACGCTGGTGTGGACACTGAGGAGACTCGGAGAACAGGACCAATGTCTCCTGCAGGGAGGGTGTGGTGACATTAACCAGGGGAGGCTGAGAGCACCACCTTTGACACCAAATCCCACCTCTAGGTCTTCCCTGTGGCCCTGGGCAAATGACTTATCTGTGTCTCAGACTCTTCACCTAAAAGTGAGGATGACGGTAATAGAACCTCACAGAATGTGGCTTCATTGTGTAGATGAAGTAGCATGACACATGGAGGCATCAAAACTGTGCCTGGCACATCCCAAGTCCTCAATAAGGTTGAGGATGTTATTTTCAGGGAACATCAAGAGACAGAATCTTTTTCAAAAAATTAAATTAAATTAAATTTTTATTTTTTTAATAAAGTGATAGGGTCTCACTATGTTGCCCAGGATGGAGTGCAGTGGCTATTCACAGGCGGATGCCACTACTGATCTGCACAGGAGTTTTGACCAGCTTCGTTTCCAACCTGGGCCGGTTCACCCCTCCTTAGGCAACCTGGTGGTCCCCCACTCCTGGGAGGTCACCATATTGATGCCGAACTTAGTGCGGACACCCGACCGGCATAGCTCACGACAGCCCGGAACTCCTGGGCTCAAGCGATCCTCCAGCCTCGGCCTCCCAAGTAGCTGGGAATACAGGCACATGCCACCGCGCCAGGCAAGACAGAGAATCTTGAAGGAGAAAGAAGGCTTAGGGTGGTCCAGTTCTGATTACATGACAAAAAGCTGCCTCAAGACTCTGAGGACATCATGGCCACCTTTGTCAAAAGAAGGTGAACTGTGCAGTGTAGTGTTAGCCTGGAAGCCCCCGGCTGTGGAAACCCAGAGCAACTCTTCTGAGATTTCCTCTCAACCAGAGGCAAGTAGAGCTGTGGACCCTACATTTATTTCAGGGCTGGGGCAAGAAAATGTGAACGAATGGGTTAAGCCGAGTCCCGTGGGTTATCCGGTCTGCAATGTTGGAGACCAGGCTGGCTCCCAGGGAGACCATGAAATGGGTGTAGTCTGTTTTGACCTAACTGCCTCCCACCTTCTCTGATGTTTCTCTAAAGATCAATTCCTCCTAAATCTTCTTTTTTTTTTTTTTTTTGAGACGGAGTTTCGCTCTTGTTACCCAGGCTGGAGTGCAATGGCGCGATCTTGGCTCACCGCAACCTCCACCTCCTGGGTTCAGGCAATTCTCCTGCCTCAGCCTCCTGAGTAGCTGGGATTACAGGCACGTGCCACCATGCCCAGCTGATTTTTTGTATTTTTAGTAGAGACGGGGTTTCACCATGTTGACCAGGATGGTCTTGATCTCTTGACCTTGTGATCCACCCGCCTCGGCCTCCCAAAGTGCTGGGATTACAGGCTTGAGCCACCGCGCCCGGCCTAATCTTCTTTTTAAATACTTAATTTCTCTGGGGCAGTTTTAGGCTCACAGCAAAATTGAGCAGAAGGCACAGGGATTTCCCATGCGCCCTGCCCTCCATCCCTGTGCAGCCTCCCCCATCAGCAAGACCCTGCACCAGGGTGGTCCGTCAGCCGCAGCTGAGGAAGCCACACTGACCCGTCGTTACCACCCAGGCTCCACACTGTACAGTAGGGTTCACTATCTCTTCATGGCACCAACGAATAACAGTTTTAGTTGATGATTTTTAAAGGCTATGCACCCTATTGGGAGCGTAGGGTACCTCGCCTTGCCTGACAACCAAGGCATTTCAGAGCCAGCCCCCTCCATCTCCTATCACTCACAAACAATCAAGCGCCCGGTGCTGGAATGGCTGAGGGCCTCACCTGGACACTCACCACTGTTTTTGAGACTTTGGAACCACATTCTTCCTCTTCATCTTCACATTTGCTTTCATTCTGGACACATCCGACTCTGTGACCTCTTAGCTCCTTAACCCAGTGACCTTGCTTTCCAGTGGGCCACGGCTTCCCTTTCTCACGGCGCAGAATGTGAGTCTGAACCACGTGATCTCTTGCAACTGCCCCACCTCCTGCATCAGAGGCTCAAACATCCTCCTCGCTGCCCGCAAACCCTGCCCTGCAGCTTCCTGCTTGAGCATTCCCTGCACAGCCTCCTCTACTTCTGGGTGACTTTCCCTGACCCCTACTTTTTCCTTATTCGTGGCTCCCCACTGTTAACTTGCCTGACATCCAGGCTGGATTCTGTTCCATCATGTCAACCGTGCCCTCTTTCTGTTGCACGTGCTGGCAAAAATCTGACGAACCCACCTACCCTCACTACATTCACTATCTGTTCGCTCTCAGGCAGCTGAGGACTGAGGAGCAGCCCCAGCCAGGCAGGTTGGGGTCACTCTAAACTCACAGTCACCAACTACAGGTGGGGCTCTGTTCGGCTGGCCATCTCATTACACGTCTCTGACTTGCTCACCACCCTGCCCTCCAAAAAAGCTTTTCAGACACTATCTCCTTCTGCCTCAAACATCTCACCTCCTGCTCCGTGACTTTGCTTCATATGTCACACGAAGAAATGTTAATACCACCAGCAAAGACCACCCTCAACTTCTGGTCAGGAAATCCGGAACACAAGCTGCATCTGACGTGGTTTTCTTCTTCTCTCTTCTCATTACAGTGGAGTGGCTATTCCTCTTCTAAAAAACCTTTTGGCTCTCTGAGCAGCACCATGGCAGTTGGCAAGAATAAGCGCCTTACGAAAGGCGGCAAAAAGGGGAGCCAAGAAGAAAGTGGTTGATCCATTTTGTAAGAAAGATTGGTATGATGTGAAAGCACCCGCTATGTTCAATATAAGAAATATTGAGGCTGGGCGCGGTGGCTCGCGCTTGTAATCCCAGCACTTTGGGAGGCCGAGGCGGGTGGATCATGAGGTCAAGAGATTGAGACCATCCTGGTCAACATGGTGAAACCCCGTCTCTACTAAAAATACAAAAATTAGCTG